TGTCCTCTAAAATCAAAGTCAAGCAAGTACAGAGATGTTTCTGTTGTAATGAGGCAGTTGAGTGTAAAGAGTGTGTGAGTTCAGTCTTTAACATGCAGTCAGTGTTGCGTCTGCAGCTTCAGTCCAACTTTAAGAGTCTGTTTCCAGGTCACCCACACACACACACACACACACACACACACACACACACACACACACACACTCACACAGACTGCGGCCTTATCAAACACAGCACAGATAAAGAGACGACACACACACACACACACACACGCTTAATCAGAGACGAAGAGAACAGAAGAGCTGTACAGGACACAACAATGTCAACACAAGCCGGATCCAGCAGAGGATTGTGGGAAACAAACACTGCTGACGTAACAGCGCAAGATAACACAACACAACACTAGACAACACAACACTACAGTGGATTGCATTACATAACACAACACACACTGGTTCGAGCCTCAGCTGGGTCAGTTGGCATTTCTGTGTGGAGTTTGCATGTTCTCCCCATGTTGGCGCTCCTCAGTCCAAACACATGCGCTATAGGGGAATTGATGAACTAAATTGGCCGTAGTGTATGAGTGTGTGTGTGAATGAGTGTATGGGTGTTTTCCAATACTGGGAAGGGCATCCGCTGTGCAAAACATAAGCTGGATAAGTTGGCGGTTCATTCCACTGTGGTGACCCCTGATTAATAAGGGAATAAGCCGAAGGAAGATGAATGACGGAATGATTATGATTATGACTTTTATTACGATTAATAATAATATTTAATTTTATTAACGATTATTATGATTATCTGGGGCATTTGTGGTGTCATTTTAGTCCTGAGCCCTGGTTAAATGTACGCGCCTCCAGTAAATAAAGCAGTGTGAATTGAGGACAGATGGCTGAAATGCAGTCAGAGGGCAGAAATGAACAAAAGCAGCAGAAAGCGAAGACTCTAAAGCAAAGATGCCGAAATCCCTGCATTTATTTCTGCTCGCGGTGAAAGTTGAGATTCTTCCCGAAACACATCGCTGACGTATTCCGGCGTTTCTGGCATCTTTTCTCCACCGGCTCAGCGTGATGTCTCTATAGACGGCTAATAATAAAGCAGATTTCTCAGCGCTTGCTTGGAGAAAATGAGGAATTCAGAAAGACTAAATGATAATAAGAGAATCATACCTGTGCATGCTCATTTAAATATCTGGATTTGATTGCTTGAGGATTCACCTTTATCTGACACAAACTATAATGAAGCACAACTGAATTTATTTTATTTGCTGAAACATAAAAAATGCATCTGAAAATAGTAATAATAATAATAATAATAATAATAATAATAATAATAATAATAATAATAATATAAAGCTCCTTTTCTGTTCATTTTCATTTAAATGTCTGGCTTTGATTGCATGAGGATTCAGGTTTATCTGACACAAACTATTATAAAGAATAATTCAATTTAGGGATTTTTTTTAACTTTTATTCATGTTGAAACATGAAAATGCATCTTAAAAATTTACATTTTACATTTAGTCATTTTTAGCAGACGCTTTTATCCAAAGCGACTTACAAATGAGGACAAGGAAGCAATTTACACCACTAAGAGCAACAATGAATAAGTACTAAAGGCAAGTTTCAGGTCTGTAAAGTCTAAGAAGGGAAGTGTTAGTATTTTTTTTTTTTTTTTTTTTTTTTTTTTTTTAAATAAAAAATAAATATGTAGTAAAAAAAATATAAATAATATTAATAATAATAGTAATAACAATAATAATAATAGTAATAACAATAATAATAATAATAGTAATAATAATAATAATAATATTAATAATAATAATAATAATGTAAGGCTCATTTAATGAAGACTCATACCTGTTCATGTTCGTTTAACTATCTGGCTTTGATAGCATGAGGATTAATGTTTATCTGAATGAAACTAAAATGAAGAACAATTCAATGAAGGGTGGATTTTTTGACTTTTATACATGCTGAAACATGAAAATGCATCTTAAAAATAAATATGCAATAAAATAAATAAATAAATAACAATAATCATTATTATTATTATTATTATTATTATTATTATTATTATTATGTAAGGCTAATTTACTTAAATGTCTGGATTTGATTACATGAGGATTAATGTTTATCTGAAGGAATCTATGATGAAGAACAATTCAGTTTAAGGTGGATATTTAGACTTTTACATATGCTAAAACACGAAAATGCATGTTAATAAAATATTTAATAATAATAATAATAATAAATAATAATAATAATAATGTGAGGCTCATTTAAGGAAGTCTCATATGTGTTCATGTTTGTTTAAATATCTGGCTTTGATTGCAAGAGGATTCACATTTATCTGACAAACTATGATGAAGAACAATTCAGTTTAGGGTGAATTTTAAGACTTTTTTTTAAAGCTGAGACATGAAAATGCATGCTATAAAAAATAAATATGTAACAATAATAATAATAATATTAATAACGACAACGACAATAATAATAATAATAATGATGATAATAATAATGTAAGGCTTTTTTAATGAATGTTTAACAAAGCA